ATGCATTCCACACGCTTGGAAAGGAGGTCGATCATCTACAAATGCAGCTGATGGAATTGTGAAACGTCGAGATGGAAAGCTGAAAGATTTAAGTAAAGGATTACAATCGAAAACAGCGTTTACCACAAGCTAAACGCAGTCTAACGCAAATTAAGCAGCTTGAACAAAAAAAAGCGGCATTTGAAGAGGAAACAATTGTAAAAGCATTAACTTACTTTGAATTGAATTTGTCTGACATATTTCAGCGACTTTCGTTGGGTAAGTTTTACAACCGGGTCTAACGTTGCTTCTGCGTTGATCGTCGTGATCCGAAGACAAGAAAAAAGCGCGTGAATAGAAATAGCGCAACTATTTCATTCTTCCGGAGCTTTTAGACCTTCCATGCTAAGAGAGTAGACAAGCTGTCACTTAAATAAACAAAGTTTAGATAAACGCGTGATAAACCATGCTTTTTCAGGTCGTTTTACCATGGTTAACTTTTCTTCATCCTGCCGCGGTTGCTATCGCGACACACTCCAATTACATTTACCATAGTAAAGCGAAAATCATCGGTCACACTACAAATTGACGTAACTATGGTAAACTTAACTTTACTATGGTAAAAAAGGGCCAAGTGTGACCTCAACCATTGTAGAGTTTCATTTTCAAACATCAGTGTCTCACGCAATTAAGTGGAACGCTTGAACAGAATCCTCAATGGGCCGGAACGGCGATGGATGAAATATTTGCATTGGTCAACATGAAAGCGACTGAACAAGATCTCTGCCACATACGCCGACAAGTTTCCAAATACATTGACCATCTGGAAAGTTTTAATGTACAAACAGTGGAACATTCTATAAAAAATCAACTATACAAAGATGTGATGACAGCCTTTCTGGCCTACATCACTTATTTATAAGTCAAATATCGATCCGAGTGAGTAGTACACACTGAATACTTTTAGAATATATGACAGCTTTTCAATCACATTTTTTGATTGACACTTTTTACGAGTATAGCCTTCTACCAACATTGTAGAGTTTCATTTTCAAACATCATGTCTGACGAGAAAGATCAAGGAAGCATGTCGTGGATTGAATTAGCCTTAAATGACCCGTTAGTGAGAGTGGAATACCGTAGAATAGGCGAGACTAATTTATACGCAGTAACCTTTAAACAGTTGGAAGCAAAACAACTGAAAGGAAGACATTTGTCATTTGAAATGATCTATCCGTTTTATATGGGAATGAAAGATATTATAGACGCGAGAAAAACACGGAAAACCACTTTTGTGAAAGTAGTGGCTACATCGCGGCAACACAGCCATGTGACATACGTGTGTACATTTGATGTAAAGCAGTTTTCATAAGACAAAATGGATGAGATTATAACAGCCTTGGAGCAGCAACTGACGATGAAACAGAACTTGAATGATGGATTGATTGTACAGTTCTCATTCTTGGAAACGAAAACTCCCCTTTGAAACAGGAAAGGAACGAGTGCTATATCACAGGAAGATACATTTCAAGAACACAACAAGACAATTACGAACTCTATTTACTCAGTGTAAAGATAATTGAAACGCGTGGTCCACTAATAAATGTTTTTGATTTGAAAAATTAACTTCTTTGTGTTTTTTTTGACTTAATCCCTTCGCCATCTTGGATTTCTTTGTTTCTGGCGCCATCTTGGATTCTAGACCGTTATTTTTTCAAATTTTTTAACCCTAACCCTAAAAAACCCCTCTTACACCTACGCCACCCCTAACCCCAACCCTAACCCCTAAACCCTAACCCTAACCCTAGGTCTTGTACCAACATCCTATGAATATCATTATCTCACTCGGCCGAGCCACTCGGACCCAGGCCCTGCGGGAAGCGGTTCGAAGGCGCCGTAGACTACTAATATTTCTGTAGGATTGAAGTTTACTCGGCGAGGTCGCACAAATTGCATCCGTTTTTCCCGCTCTGATCTATTTGCAAGGCTCCGATGCAGAGAAATGCCTGCAGCATGGTCTGCACGATTACTTCAGGTTTGATTACGCATCGATGCCCAGTCATTTTTGTTTAGTTTTTGTCAGAATAGAGTAAAGCACTCTGTTATGTTTGCTTGACATTTTGCCATGTGAGATTTTCGCGTTGAGCCTTTGACGTCACTGCCTCTGAGTCCAGCAATCAACTTCCGGAACATGATCAAATAATGGCGGACGCGAAATCGTGAATTTAACGGCCTGTAAAACGATGTTTCTGGTGCTCGGTCTAAACTGAAATTTGGCAGAGTAGGTGAAGGAGACACACTGAACACGAAAATGGAAAAAAATGATGTGCGAAAATTTTGATCTCAGGGCCACTTTAAAGCAATGATNTTTGATCATGTCGATCGACAGCACCCATGTTCTTATTGTAGTCAACTGCACATGGCGGGCAGGGCAAATTTACCTGTTCACCTCTTCTCAGTTTTCTGGTGATTGTGCAATTGCCATGAGAAGAGTGCACATTTGATAAAAAAGAAACATGTTTGGTATCTTTCCACACTGTGCAAACTGTTGTTTCAGATGCCACAGTATGAAATTCACCACGCTTCATTTGTTTTAGTAAGTTTTTACCCTGCAAAGCCTTTGGGTAATTTTTTCGATTATTTCTTATTGTTCCCACAACACTGATTGATAGCTCACTCAACTCTTGCAAAAGGGGAATGCTGGTAAAGAAATTGTCAATGTACAATACAGTTCCTCTGTCCTGAAGTTGCGCAACTAGGTCAGTAACAACCCGATGTGCTAGACCTTTTTCAGCATTTCCACCAGATTTCCCTGTGTACACCTGGAAATCATAAAGGTATCCACAACACGAACAAGCCAATTCCCAGATTTTTGTACCTCTTTTGATTGGTTTCATGGGAAGGTACTGTTTGAAAGGATTTCTCCCTTTTCCCTTTACCATGTGCTCATCAACACAAACTTTCTGGCCAATATTGTATGAATGCTCGAATTTTTCTTTCATTCCATTGATCATGGGCCTTAACTTGTAGAGCTTATCATAGGCATCATCAGTAGGAGCAGGCTGCCTTGTGTTGTCAGCCAAATGAAAATTCTGCCACAGTTGCCAGAATCGGTTCCTGGTAAAAACACTTTGCATTGCAGGAACAGCAAATACCCAATCCCGAGAAAAGTAATGATCAAAATTGGGCAGTCTGTGTAAAGCCATGAAATAAAGGGCACCAACAAATGCTTTCATCTCATCTTTATTTGTGTCACAGAGCCAAGTTTTTCTTTGTTTCTGGGCAACATACAGATTTGTTTGTTCTACTAAAATATCCCAGAGTTCTTCAGGGAATAAAAGACTAAAAAAATTTACTGGCTCAGAGTCAGCTTCCAGAAGAGTAATAGGGCCGTGCTGCCCCCTGTATTCAGGAAATGAAACAACAACATTCTCATCACGATTTCCCCACCTTATAGCTGAATTGTCTTCATCACGTCGGTTTGCAGGGGATCGTGATCTTGCCCCTCGTGCAGCAGTTCCGCGTGCTCCTCTGCCACGTGGTCTTCCCCTACTCGATCGTCTTCTAGTGGAATTTGTTGTTTCATTTCGCTGAAAATCACTCTCACTATCATCCGATTCCAAAGGTGGAATAGCTTCATGTTCTATTTCACTCGCAGAATTGTATGATTCGTCAGAGTCTGTATTAGACCCGTCCATATTGCTTTCTTGATCTCCTTCTTCCCCCTCGAAGTCAGAGACATCGCTATCCTCGGGAACATCCATGACAATCCTAGCAACTTCCTCTGCTGTATATGTTCTTGCTTGTCTTGCCGCCATGTTGAAATCGCTCTTAGAAAGTTTTACCAAATTTGAGCGAAAAATGACTGAATTATGGCTTCAAACGCAAAGCTAATTTTACCTACGCCATCTTTAAATACCCTTCAGGACATTTAAATCGAAGGCTTGAAGAAAAAACACCAAATTCAAGAGAAATAATACAGTCCAGTTCGTGAAAAAATTTCAGCAGGTTCGTAAACAGCCTTAGACATGAAAACGAGGCTTATAGCCGACCTGGGAGAACTCTACTTCATGTAAACAACGATTTTTGTCCATGACGTCATATGCGCGGAATAATCCGCGCTTGACAGATTAAGGGATAGAGGAAAGCTAGATGAGGGTTTTGAGAAACGTATCTCTGGAGTTATTTCTTCAGGAGAGAAGTATACTTTAAAACAAAGAAAATAGCGCGCGCACAGAAGAAAATAATTGCCTTTTGTAACACAATCTCGTCCGAGTTTGCCAAAACAAAGAACGTACAGATGGGGAAATGACGCCTAAAAACTGACCTTTATCATTACATCGCAAAGGAAAGTCATCAAGAAATATCCTAATAAGAGCTAACCTTTGAGGGGGGAAGATTTAACAGCGCTAGCGAATGGTAGGAGACGCACAGGCCTATGAACACCTTTCAACGGTCGACTGCCTTTTGCTTTCCGGCTTTCCGGCGGGTTACGCGCAAGGTAGAGGTTTTCATGGATCAAGTGACTCTTTTCATTGCTTTAATAAAACTGTCCTCCATTCAATGATCAAGATAGAAGATTTACCACACAACACTTGCGATTAGTTAATTTCCTTGACGTAGGAAAGTGGATTTACAGCACGGTTAAGTACATATAATAAATATCCTTGCAGTGGTGACGCTGTCTAACGCAACGCACTAAACGCCACAATGGGCCTTTTCGCTCCATGAAGGGTCTCAAACACTAACACTTAAATGCATACAACATTTGTACTGTTGGAGTGCGTTTAAGCGCGTTTGGTCAGAGCTGTTGAAGAAGGATCAAAGTGGCCATACAAATTTTTGAAAGGCTTCAAACTACGACGTACAACGAATTTGACCTTCTCGAAAACCGGTCTCAAGTTACATGCTAAAATACAGTGCTCCCGTTTGTCATTGAGAACGATAGAATACGCGACAAATACGTACGAAAAATACTTCTACGCCAATAAAGAAGGAATCGCTACTTAAACTCAAAGGTTTAATTACGACAACTTGAATCGGTTGCGAGCAAATGGAACAGACAGAGTCCCGACGCCCTTGCGCTTCGCTAATAACTGCAGGCTACAATATAAATAACGTAGTGGCGCTACACATTCAGAATATATCAACTTTTATTATCCAACTACACCCAGACGAGTACAAATAACGCCATATACGAGTACAAATATCACGCGGTGTTTGTACTCGTCTATTGTAGAGTACCGGTTAAACAGGTTTTCTCGCACCTCGCAAGCGAAGAATTGGATTGTAGTTACGAAAAAAAAAAAAGTGGCGGATAATTTGAATCATATATCCGACGACGAAGAGTCAGAATGGCTGGCAAATATAGGTCCAAGTTCATTACAGGAATCGAACGAAGAAAAACAGCTTGACGACCAGAAAATTTTTTTCATTTAATGAAGAAAATAGAAACAGCGACACAACAATGCGCCAATTCCGTTCCGCTTCGCATACTTCTGTCACGCACTCCCCGTAAATAAATATCCGCGAAATTCGCCCGCACTGAAATAACAGTTGGATAATAAATAACTTGTTAGACGTTTTGTTGTGTAGTATCGCTGATTATTATCCAACTACACTTAGACGAGTACAAATATCACGCGGTATTTGTACTCGTCTATTGTAGAGTACCGGTTATTAAACAGGGTTTTCTCGCATCGCGCAAACGAAAAATTGGATTGAAGTTACGAAAAAAAAAAAGTGGCGGACAATTTGAATCATATTTCCGACGACGAAGAGTCAGAATGGCTGGCAAATATAGATCCAAGTTCATTAGATGAATCGAACGAAGAAAAACAGCTTGACGACCAGAAAATTTCTTCATTTAATGAAGAAAATAGAAACAGCAACACAACAACGCGCCAATTCCGTTCCGCTTCGCATACTTCTGTCACGCACTCCCCGTAAATAAATATCCGCGAAATTCGCCCGCACTGAAATAACAGTTTGGCGTGTTGGATAATAAATAACTTATTAGACGTTTTGTTGTGTAGTATCGCTGAGTATTTTTACTCGTTATTTGTATTTTGACTCGCCCTACGGGCTCGTCAAAATACGGCACAACTCGTAAAAATACTCAGCGATACTACACAACAAAACGTCTAATAAGTTATTTATTATCCAACACGCCAAACTGTTATTTCAGTGCGGGCGAATTTCGCGGATATTTATTTACGGGGAGTGCGTGACAGAAGTATGCGAAGCGGAACGGAATTGGCGCGTTGTTGTGTTGCTGTTTCTATTTTCTTCATTAAATGAAGAAATTTTCTGGTCGTCAAGCTGTTTTTCTTCGTTCGATTCATCTAATGAACTTGGATCTATATTTGCCAGCCATTCTGACTCTTCGTCGTCGGAAATATGATTCAAATTGTCCGCCATTTGTTT